GGCAGGAGGCTGAGGTCCATCAGGACTAAGACCTCCCGCCACACCAACAGTTTCTTCAAGTTTCATCAACAGAGCCGGTTCCCCACTGACTGACTATAACATTCCACCGGTCACTCCCCTTCATACTGCACATGCCACTTTAACTGTAATTTTTCACTTTGTCGTTACTCGTCACTTTGTTACTTGTTTGCTAGTGCACTTTATGCTTAATATTTTTTTACTTTTTTAATATTTAAAATGTTTAACTTTATTCTCTTGTTTTATACTAACCCATAGCCTTATTCTACTAACTCATTGCATTAGCATTTCATTTTACTTTATTCTATTACTTGTGCACTGCTGTCTTGTCTGTGTACTGTCACGCACCAACCGCCAAGACAAATTCCTTGTATGTTTGACATATTTTGGCGATAAATGTTTCCTGATTCCTGATTCTTCGAGGATTTCCAGTCAGGATTTTGAGTGCATCATAGCACAGAAACAGCACTGGTGAAAATTACCTTCTAATTGCATCGGACCAAGGACTCATCTCTTTTCTTGTCTTGCTGGACCTCAGTGCTGCATTTGACACCATTGATCATTGTATCCTGTTGCAGAGACTAGAAACATTTGACTAGTATTGCATAGGAACTGCTCTCAGTTTAAATGTTTTTTTATCTGATCGATCTCCGTTTGTGCTTGTAAACGTTGAATCCTTGATGACCACCAATGTTGGTCACGGAGTCCCACAAGGTTGTGTGCTTGGATGAAAGCCCATGAAAGCTTAAAACTTTCCTCTTTGATATTGCTCATAGTTAGGGCTGGCTCAGGTTAGCCCGGACCAGCCCTTAGTTAAGCTGCTTTAGGCTTGACTGCTGGGGGACTTAGGACACGCCAAGCTCCTCTCTCACTCTCTCCTTCTACAATAATCCACATCTCATTAATGCAGATCTCTAATTTAGCATTGTAGTCCGTCCTTCCCGGGAGTGGGATCCCTCCTCTGACGTTCTCCTTAAGGTTTCTTCCATTTTTTGCCCGTGGAAGGGTTTTAATTTTTTGGCCTGTGCCGATGTGTGGGTTTCGGGACTGAGGATGTCTTATGTGTACAGACTGTAAAGCCCCCTGAGGCAAATTTGTTACACTTTTGTTACTCGCCACTGTAAGTGTTATAAAGCCAGTAAATGCTAATAACAAAAATAATTAACTTGAGGTAATATTTTAAAACTGCCCTGCATGCAGTCTCCCATTGAAATCTGGTAGACTTTAGGCACCATTAACATGTGTAGGAGCTTGTTGTATGAAGCTTTACCCCTTTACCAATGTTAATGACGAGCAACAAGGTTAATACACATTCACACAGTCTGGGGTCTTATGGCCAGATGCCGTTACTGCAACGGTGTTGCTTTTAGCCTGGATTAGGTTTTTTATATTTTTGTATTTTCCTCTTTGTGTGCTAAATATGCTGCTGTGCGGTCAGCAGATTGATCCAGGGGGTGTGCTTTGCAGAAGTATGGAGATGCTGGTCGCGGTCTCAGCCAATCCCTGACCTGATGACGTATGGACGCTCTGGTTGCAGTCTCAGTCAATTTAACGGATGACATTTTTGATGACTTATGGACTACATTGCAGAATTACTCAGAATTATAAACACTGGCCTCAGGCAGCTAGACAGGGAGTGCCAGACTGTCGGGCTTGGCCACGTTGAGGCTCTATTCAATTGGATTTTTTTGCTTGTGATTCACACACTGCACTGGGTTTTGTCATAGTTCAATTAAAAGCAAAAATGTTCATTCTATCTGTTTGGCTTCATTCTGAGTTCATCCTTGAAGCGGGTCCTGCCTTACGAGCCACAACAAACACAAATTCCTTACATTGTCATTAAAGTTATAGAATAGGAACTTAGGAGAAATATGTATGTTTAAAATAAGCCAATAAATAAGTATTGTTCCCTTTACAATGAAGAAAAAGCTGAAGTATAAAATAACACAGAAAAACATTCTAACTATTTTTATGTTTGATTCTGTTTGTGTGTTGCTGGCGGTCGTTCTTTGATTCATGGAGCATTCATGTAAAACGCAAGATTGGAAGTGCTTAAAAAGTGCTAGTGCTTAAAAAAAAACATGAAGATAGGTAATAAAACATAGAAAATGATGATGATTAAATGTTATAGTAACTTTTATTTCAATTGTTTAACAGATATGCTATGAAAATAAAATATTGAATTGAAGATTCAACCAATTATTTTGCTAAAAACCATTAGCACTCCACTCAAGAAATCTTAAATGAGTCCGCATGATTGGGTCAAAGGAATAAATGTAATTTCAGGCCATGATTGTAGTCTGTTGTATTCTCAAGTCATTTGGCATTACTAAAAAGGAAAAAGAAATCTGAGCTGTCACATAATCAGACAGGTTGTTAAAAAAATAGCAGTTTATCCAGATTGGTGGTCAAGGTGAAAGAAGAAAGTGGGTCAGAAAGTCTGCATTGTTAGTCATGTTCCTGCCTCTTGTGTGTATCTTCTAAGACAGCGATTCCCAAAGTGTGGGCCGCGGTGGGCCGTGAGAGGTCATTTACGATAAATAAAGTTTTTTAATTTTCAATTTTTAAAAGTTTGAAATTAATACAAAAATATTTATGATGCGGCACATTAGTTCCGTGAAACATTAGTTGATGAAGCACAAACTATTTAAACGGACAGATTAATAAAACAATAAGGCTGCTCTTGTCCGCCTGTCGTTGTTCAACAAACGGGGCGCCCTCTTGTAGTATTAAAGTCAATATACCGCATTTTCCGCACTCCAAGGCGCACTTAAAAGCCTTTAACTTCCTCACAGTGCCTTATAATCCGGAGCGCCATATATATATATAGATATATATATATATATATATGGATCAATTGGTTAATGGGTTGATCCATACTGGTTGTACACGGCGCTCAAGGCGCTCTGCCAAACACGCCAAAGCTTGTCTACGACGGCGAGATGCTGAGCGGCGCTCAATCGCGTGAGATATGGAGCTGCTTTCAGGGCGCGTCGGAGAAACAAAGCTGTCGTTCTCGGCGAGCACTTCATGAGATTAAAGAGCGAGAGACGGTGCCCTTTTCTCTACAGTAGCTGAACCATCTTAACGGGGAACATAAGTTATTCTAAAAGCAGCCGAAGATTTAAGGCGCGGATAGCGAGGGGGCAGCGGGAGCGGACGCACCTCGCAGCATCGATCGGACCCTGAAAGCACCGTCTCCCCCTTACTGTCAAAAAGAACAACAGCGAACGCGTAGAAAACTCCTTCGAGCGCGAGCAGAGATTCTCCTCGCGAGCAACTAAGTTCACGTTTCGCAAGCGAGCAAATACCTCGCGGAGACGGACTTTTGCTCGCGGATGTTTGATTTTGGTTAAATTCTCAAGGTAATTTAATCATGTTTTGATCAGAGTTGTGATTAAAGGTTTGGGTGGGCCGCGAAAGATTTTCAGATTTCAAATTGGGCCGCGGCATTCTTCAGTTTGGGAACCGCTGCTAAGACGTATAAGACCTATCTGATGTCTGCTTCGCTGACAAAAAATAAAGATCTGTGGCTTTACAAAGAGTAGCTACTGTCCAAACCACTGCATACAGAATAAAGGAGAAGTTTGAGTAATTGGATCCGGATGTCCCTGAACTGCAACCGAGGCAGCACAATATCCTGTCTCTGATGCATCTTTAATACTGTTCCTGTACTTTCAAGACAGATTTTAGACTCTAATGAGCAAGGACAAAAAGATGGTCGTTTTACATTGAAAATGTTGAATCAAGGACTTTTAAATCCTCTGAAGACACTTTAAAAGGTGTGATCTTCACCTTCAAACTGCGAAGCAAATCTAATTTGCCAAAGTCCTTAGTCTTAGTTCAGTGGGGGCAAGCCTACATTGTTGTGCAGGCCATGCTGCATTTAGCATACAGTTAACCAGTTATTATTAATCTACCATACACGAGGGGTAGAGAGGGTGCGCTGGGGAACCGCAAGATTGGTGGTTCGAGTCCCGGCTGCTCCATGTCCTGAAGTCGAAGTGTCCCTGAGCAAGACACCTAACCCCTAATTGCTAAAAAGTAAAAAGCCATGGCTTAAAAAATGTAATGTAAGTCAGATAAAAGCATCAGCTAAATGACCTGTAATGTCTGGTTCAACCCAGACTGGGAACTATTTAATTCATGTGCTCTGATTCTACACATCGTTAATGAGGAAATGGATCATATTTCTGATGGATTGGGTAAACGGATTGCAATTGTATTTCTCTTTTCGAATTCATCATTCACCCATTCATACACTGATGATCAACATCAAGATTTGAGTTTAATTGCCATGAGGATGTTTGCTTCATTTGTATGCAGCAACATACTGTGGCTACAAATCGGACCTTCCCATTCAAATTAGCAGGCATACAAATAGAAGGACGTACAATGAACTTATTAGAACTCATTGATTAAGTTCAAATTGAAATGGTAGATTGTTGTTTCCGTTCCATATTCCAGGTCCTCTCACAAGGAAGGACAGCCACAGCTCATTTGCCACACAACAGACTGAATAAATAATGCAGAACTTGGATGTTGCTCGATAAAACAACCAAGGCAGAAATTACAGGGTTACAGGTCCGTGGTCTGGGAAGCTCCAGGTTTCCGTCTTGTACTGTGAATGGCTTATTAGAGCAAAAATGTGAAAGACTTCGGGCGGCTGACATGGAGTAAGAAGCTCGGGCATCAGGAGGGTGACCTGGAGATGAGGTGCTACTCATAAAAAGAGTCAGCTGAGCTGGTTCGGGCATATAACTGGGATGCCTCCTAGACGCCGGAGGAGGCTTTTTTGGAACAGCAAGGACACTCTGGGAGGATTATACCTCCCAGGTAAGCGGAGGAGCGTGATGCTTTTGAGCTCGCTCCAGTCATCCTCAAAGGAACCTTCCCTCTCCGAGCAGAACTCTGCTAATGCTGAGTGTATGTGTGACAGTTTGAGTCAGTGATTTATTCTGGGACAGATCACAAGGGATAGATTCACTTTTGGAGATATGTTTTTAATTAAATGTGTACGAGGTAAATAAATATTCAAAAGCAAAATATTTCTTCAACAATTCAAATGATTCTATATACATTATACCTTTAGTGCAAAAGCATGGATTCAAAATACATTGTAAGCTGATACTTTCAAGGCACATATATATCTACATATATATAGATATATAATACTGTTTTACCATAACATTATTTTTGCTGAACAAAAGGAGAAGAGTCGGTTCTTGGTTAAGCATAAAGTAGACGGCAGATATGAGTCTTTGTTGCGTCTTACTGTGACACCGACCATCCAACACAGCCAGCCGGCACTAATAACGTGACCCCTTTACTCATAATGTATGAATCTTGAAAAGCAAGGGAGAGTACTGCAGCCTCCCACCTTCTATGAATGTTTAATGAGTGCGACCTTTACATTTACTTTGAAGCAGAGAAATATCTGTTGCATAAAATATGTCCTCTTTCAAGAGCAGAAATCCAATAATTTGCATCTCTATTGATGATAGTGACAATTAAACCAATATGCCAAATACCTGTGATGACTTGATTAAAAAGCCTTTTTGGTTTGCAGGAAGCTACGCGCTCTGGTGGTGAGTGTGGCTGATTCATGTCTGCCTTTTTTTCCTCCCTCTCTAATGCAGAGTTGGACCAGCCGGTTTCAGCACTACTACGATGCACTGCTGATACCGTGTTGATTCTGTAGCTGTCTGGGTTACAGTGTACGTTGACCTCATAATCATTAACTATTACTGAAAATCAGAACAAAAGCCTTAATATTCACTAAATAAATGAATCCTGTTTTATCATGTCTGTGTGCACAGAACTCAAAATAGCAGAACAAACAGAAACCAGTCATATATAAATCCAACATTGACATATAAAAGATACCATCCATTTAGTTGTATAAATTACATTTTTTGAAGGTTTCAAACAATATTAACACTGTACAGTGTCCAGTAAAGAGTGGGTAGCCAGTAAAAATGCTCCCGATGCTCTCCCAAACCATCATGTGCCACAAAGGTCTGCATCCTGAACATTGTTCTTGCAGTAAACTGTGCTGTTATTCTCCAGGGGACAGTCTCGGAAGCCGATGCCCCCATTAGGGGTGTAACTAGGCTGAATGCGGAAATCTCCCTTGAGAAGTTGTTCGTTGTTAAGTGAGACTATTTGGAAGCCGGTCTCAGTCATTTCCAGAATGGAATTGTCCTTCTTGGTCCCTGCCTCGCAATAGTCATCCTTTCTCCGACCCCGATTGTATTTCCACTTGGTTGTGGCCTTGGAGTCGCTCTTCTTGTGCATGTGCCAGCAGAAGACGGTGAGGAGTGCCAGCAGTACCACAATCACAGCCCCACCAATCAGTCCACCCAGCAAGAAAGGTGAGCTGGGTTCATGTTGAGTGGCCTGTTCAGGCCCCGGCGGCCTTTTGCTGTTGTTGTTGTCGGGGCTGAAAGAGGCTGGCGTGGTCATAGCCTCAGTGCACACGGTATCGTCTTTGGGCCGATAGTTGTTGAACGCATCCAACGGAATGACACAGATCCGGTAAGTGGACTTTGGCTCAAGGTTAGCCAGTCGGATCCCCCGGTGATCCCCACCCACTATCCTTTCCCTGACGGTGTCCCCTGTCAGACTGGGGTCCATCCTGGCCCACGTCACCTTGAAAGTAGTGACTGGAAAGGCGGCCACCCAGCTGACATGGATGGCTGAGCCATTCAGTATGGCAAACGTGACCTTCAACGTCTCCCTTCTCGGGTCTGGAGGTTGCTTAGTCCTCAATCCTCCCTTTCTGGTTGAATAGACAGCATAGTGGGTGGTTACCGTGGGAGGGGGTTGCCTGGAGGAGGGGGAAACATACCGAGTGACATGGGGCGAGTCAGAGGAAGAGGCCACGGTTGGGATGAGAGCGGCGTCCGCTGTTAAAGAGGACAGGGGTGCAGTCACTGTGCTCTGCGGGCACTGGACTAGCTCCGCACTCAGCTCCCTAATCACCATGCCCCGGAACTTTTCAGGTTTATGGCACATGAAGCCGCGCACATTGAGCGAGGCCGGCAGCGACTTGAGCCATGACCCCACCCATTTGATGCTGCAGTCGCAGAGCCAAAGGTTGTTCCGAACAGTGAGCTGTCTGAGGCTGCGGAGGCCATCAAAGACCCCCTGTGTCAACGAATGCAGCTGGTTGTTAGAAATATCCAGCCTCTCCAGCTTGTGCAACCCTGCAAATGCGCTAGCAGGAATCCTGTTTATCTGGTTTTCCTGAAAGTTTAATTTGACGAGTACCTGCCCTGGGAGGAATGGGGGCGGGTATGTCAGTGAGTTGCGGGCCAAGGACAGCTCCCTGAGGGTGTCCAGATCCTGAAAGGTTCCTGGTGCAATCCCTTCATCTGTCAACAGGTTCCCGTCCAATAGCAAGCGCTGCAGACGGGTGACATTCCGAAATGCCTCCTCCGCGATGACAGCAATTCGGTTCTCGTCCATTCGCAATTCTTTCAGATCATCTGGAAGACCAATAGGCACACTGCTCATGTGGTTTTTCGTGAGGAAGAGCATCTTCAGGCTTAGTGCCTCACGGAAGGCCCCTTCCTCTACACCTACAGTAGAAATGGAGTTATCATCCAAGTGCAGCTCCTCCAGCCAAAGAAGCTGCGCCAAAGCTGCTCTGGAGATGGTCTGAATGTTATTCTCCTGCAAATGGAGAACCCTCACATTTTTGGGCAGATTGATGGGGAACTCATCCAGCTGGTTACCATAGAGAAACACAGTTTCCACAGAGGCCACGTGGTGGAGCTCCAGGGGAAAGCCAGCGTTATTGATTTGGTTGTTGTGGAGGTAAAGGGTCTTGTAACCCTCACCGATTCCCTGAGGCACTGAGGTCAGGCTCCGCTCGTTGCAATAAACAAAAGTACGATCACAGCGGCACTCCTCGGGACAGTTGGAGGCCCGGGAGAACTGGAGATGAAGGCCCAAAAGTATAGGTATCCACGGCCTAATAAAGGAGGCCCAGTCCTTAGTCCATAAACGCCACTGTATCTCCATTTCAGAGAGATCAGAAAAAATACAGACACCAAATAAGAGAAGAAAGTTGAAAATTAGGATTCAAATCCAACAGTCGTTGGATATTGTCTGTTTGCTGACGACGGTCTTGAGTAATCCCTTGTTAATTAGTTGTCCTAAGCTTCCCAACACCAGAGTAATGGTCTCATTAAGCAATACGATTCCTTCACCACCCACTGTCCATAATTGAGCGGGGAGACATTATTTAAGAGCTCATATTTCCACCTTCTCTTCTCTTTTACCAGCGGGTAGAGCTCTTTTCACAGCAGTCTTGGCTGACAGAGCACAACACACCGGAGGGTTATCGCTGGGCGTCCTCTCCTCCCTCACGCTCACGTTTGTCCACAAAGCTTCTTTCCTGATTTGACATTTGGTTCCAGGAACCTGTGTGTCGAAATAAGAAAATGGGGAAATCAGTAGGGTTCACCTCTGCTCAAAAGACATACTTCCCACTGAAAAGTATATTTTCTCCTATTCCCAATATGCAAAGCCTGTAAATTGGGAGCGCATGGCAGTGTGCATAAAAATTATTTACAGGCAGACAAAGCTTGTAGAAAAGGATATTTGAAAAGACACAAGGTGGGGAAATGGTAATGCAACACTCCCTATATCAGTACCCATTAGCACCAATTTAAAATGGAAACAAACACTATTCAGCCTTTTGTCGTTTCCCAGTCAAAAAATGATGAACCAGAACAAAGAAAAATCAAAAGAATTAAAACACGGCAGTGTTGTTCACGCAGTGTGAACAGTGAGTTTAGGGAACGAGGAACCTGGCCGGCTGCTGGGCACAATTAATCTGTTACACATTCAACCCTTTAGGATTGTGTAGTGGCCCAGAGCACAAGGAGGACTCCAGTTGAGTGTGAATTATTAACGAGCAGGGTTAAAGAGGGGGTGTTAGATACAGTATTACCACAGGATGGGTTAATGATCGCTAAATTAGACTTTACATTCCTCTTTATCCATTGCGTTCAGCCATGCTGCATGAGAGTAGGCGTGAAGGATGATGATGAACACAGCCTGTCAGCAGAGATAAGAAGAGAAAAATGCACGGGGACAAAACTGCGATCGACCAGAAGGCCTCTCGCACTGAGAAAAGGTGCCACCGCCAGGTCCTGCAACCTAAACAAAGCGAGGGAGGGATTTCTCACAGTGTCTGTATTGGTTTTCTCCCAAAGCGGAAGCCTTTGTCATTGAGGTGGATTGAAGGGAAGAATACATTCGGGTTCAGGATGATGATGTATAGTCAGAGGTTGATAGCTGGTGATTGATACAATGGAACCAGGCGGCAGCAGCCAGTTGACAGATTGCATTGATTTGTGGCCAAGGCAGTTCAAGAGTTATGTAATGTTTCTTAGGGGCCCAAACACGGAATCTAACCATTCCAATTATGGTGACCCCGCTTCACCACGTCGTTTTACCGGCATCACTCATCTGTGATGTATTTCTGAATGTGTTCATGCCAAACGGGTGCTGATGAGGGTCCGTGTCGAGTACCTGGCCACATGCTGTTGATTTCAGACCTGATAAAACTGTGATATAATTGCTGAATAAAAGTGTAGCATACTAAATATTAACGTTGCTGCCATTGTTTCTACTTCTGTCTGTCACTGTTTGAACTTATTCCTGTTCAAATAAATAAGAATAAAGGGGAAATACCCTGAATTGTAAATGTGGAGATATAAAAATACAAAATCGAGGCTGATAGAAAGCATAATTAGCGGGACAAAGTGCATTGGTGTCCGGTTGTTTTACCTTAACGAAAGCAGGAAGTCATCCAGCCGGTCCGCTGTCTCCGCAGACTGCTCCGCTCAGACCGGGCGCAAAGTCCGCATTGTGCCGCTGCGTCGGCTCACCGCTCCGGGCGGCGCTGGCTCGGTTTTCTGGTAGTTCTGGGGAACTGGATCATTATCCTCCCGAGCGAAGCCGCCAGGAAGGCAGGAAAGCAAGTTCAAGTCAGCCGCGGTGTGCTCCGCATAGACGCCCCCTTCCCCTCCGCGTCACTCGGACAGCGGCACACGGAGACTCCCGGCCGGCCGCGCGGCTCCGGAGATGCCGCTGAAGTTCCTCCGCTGCCCTCCGAGGAGGAGAAGAGCGATAGAGGCACCGAGCCGCAACCCCGCTGCTCCGCCGATGTCAGCGCGGGAAGTGAAGTCCATATTCTGGGTAAAGTGTTCCAGAGTGCGCCCGGTCCCTGCTGGAGCCCCTCGGAGCCCCACTAAGTCTCTCTCTCTCTCACCCTCTCACCCTCTCTCTCCCTCCCATCCCCCGGAGGTAAGAGTGGGCGTGTCTTATTTTTCTAGTCTTTTTGGACCAATTAAAAAAGGTTTTGAATGTAAATGATTTGTCACACATTGTCTCTTTTCATAAACCTAATTACATGTAAGGGACATGCGGTAGGATTTTACAGCAGAGCCAAATTAACTTCTCAGAGGGGCCGACATCAATAACACTATGGTCCCCCAAAATCTACAGGCCGTGGTCTTGAAGCCCAACAGAATGTTAAAATATTCCACTAAACATTTGCTTCCTCTGAAGTCCGGCTTAATTTTGTTTCCCACCCTGGCCCATGTAAGTTTGTCCACGCGGCACATAAAGATGACTGAAACTTTGACTCGGTCCCTTCCAGTGAGACAGCCTGTCAATCTGAGGGTGAGACCCTCCTCGTAGCTTTGGCCACTTTCACTTGTAAAAAAATCTAATTCACCACAAAGCAACTGTTGCAAAGTTAACATTTTAGACAAATCCATGCTTCACCCGTTGAAACTATGAATAAATGTATAAAGTCAAAATTGTGTTTTTGATAAAGGTTCTGTCCACTTGTTTTTGAAAGGTTTTGATATCTATTCCGTTTTATTCCATAAATGACAAATCTGCATTCTCTTGTTATCTGGAAAATATCTTTCTCATGTGTAGACGACAGATATTTTAAAGAACATCGGTTTATCTTAATTATTCTGTTTCACTCAACGAGTTTGGCAAGTTAGGCCCCGGACATTGAATAGGCACTGTATTTCTGACTGTGTATGTGTGTGTATATATATATGTGTGTATATATATATATATATATATATATATATATATATATATATATATATATATATATATACACATTATATAAAGAAATGGCGGAGTGGGTGTTGGCCTTGGGGAGTAGAAACTAGAATTCAACTTTAAATTAATAGGCCACACATTGAGAGGGATGTTTTACATTTGTGTTCATTTGTAAAATATTATGTTGAAGCGCCTTTTTTTTCTTAGTTTGAATTTTTTTCATCAGTTTGTTGCTGAAATCTTTGCTTTTCTCCTGTTTGTAGTTTGTGAACGAATCGTGCAAAACACGAGTCAAGTCGGCAACTTCTCCAAGCAGCGTTTGGTTTGTGTGCAGTGTGTATTTCCTGCGGCAGACAGACACGTTGCCGTGTATTCTCTTTAATGAAGGCCTTCCGCTGGTAGGCGGAATGTTTGCAGCGAATTTAGAGTCAAACATCCAGCATGATGATGAAACAGAAACTGAGGCGCCTGAACGGCTTCTACACAGTGTTGTTTGATATGGAGGAATATATTATTTAACATTTGAACAGTCGCCGCTTCGCCCAGATGAAACCGACTTCTCCACCTTCAGACAAACATCCAGACAGACACAAAAACATCCACCCACCCACCCAAAGACTGTTTACATAAAGCCTCAGCGTACCGCTTTGACCCGCCGCTGTTAAAATGACTGTTAACCTTCAAACATACTCTCAGCAATGGTTGGTTCATTTGTAGCCTCTATGTACTTCTCTCCAGCTTGGAAGCCTCTCTGCCAAACACCACATCTGCTGCAACCTCCTTTCACTCCAATCTATTAAATTAAAACATCTGTCTGCTCGTCCCGGTGTGTGTCTGTAGCATGACGAGGTTTGTGTAGCTCTGCTCATTTGTGCCATGTTGCTATAATCTGGCTTGCTGTGTGTGTGTGTGTGTGTGTGTGTGTGCGCGCGCTTGTTTGTGTGTTTGTGCAGGCTCGCAGCAACCTGGACAGCTGCTCAGAGGGTTTAGGGCAGGCAGGGGTTGAGGAGTAATGGATTACCCAGATATGTGGCCAAACTATTGGGATCTGTTCACGGAACAGTGAATGAACGGGCAAATCTACGCGTGGTAGTTATAAGGGACAGTTTTAAAAATAAATGGAATACAATGGTTAAACCTTGGCATATACTAAGAATACAATGGGCTATACCATTTCCCCATTGGGCTGGAGGAGACAAAAGGAAGTAGCACCGTAGCAATGCTATGACTCTTTGAGAGTCTCTTTGCACCCAAGGATGTATGGTAAATGTACTGTACGATAATGAGCATCAGGACTCCGTTAAACCATTGACATACCTTTACACAATTCAGGGTTGAGTGTCTGGCCCAGTCCACAACACGGACTGGTGGAACCGCAGAACCTCTGGCTGAAGGACGAATCAGACCCACCACTGAGTCCCAGGTCCCCCTTGCTCCTTGATTGTTGAAACCAGCGGTTAACCTCTACTCCTGCAGAGTGAAGCCGAAGTGTGGCTGTCTTACAACTCGCATTCTCCCTACTGGCCATCAGAGGGCGACTCTTCAGGTGGCAAAAAATGGGTCTGTGAGCAAATGACTATCGGTGTTTACGTGAGAAGGAACCAGGGGTGGATGTAAAGTAAACCCTGCTGGTATGACAGCAGTGTAGAATAGACAGCAAAGTTATGTAATGTCAAAGTACTTTTTATGGGAATACGGAGGTTTTGAAGGGACTGATTTTACACATGAAACAATCTTGAACAACAAGCATTTTATTACATAGATACATCAAATCGTGTTTGCAAGCCAGGCCATGCTGACATATCAATTTTGAGGCTGTCAGATGGCACAATGAATGTGTGGTGACTCATAGCACGACAGTGTTACAAAAAAACAATGGAAGCAGTGACACACTCTCAGCTCATTCTAGTCATCCGTTTCACAGCTCTCATGTTTCAAAAAGCACGACGGACTAGTTTGACTGTCGTGACCTCGGAAAAGAGGAAAGTAAACACTTGAGTGTTTTCTCGTCCAAAACTGATACGAGCTTCATAGCTTGAAGCGGTGGGCCGCTGATCAACATCCTTGTTTGATGAGTCGGGAGTTAAAATGTGTTGCTGAAACACGGTTTGGTGCTACAACACACTCCTTTGTTGTCTGTACGCACAACACACTCTCAGGCCCCTCATTAGTAGGCAAGCTCCCGTTGCACATCGCCGTGACCCTGGGGGGAAGAAGTACTTCCGGTCGCCTGCTTTGACCGGTATTTTGACCGACTGCTGTGTTGAAGCCTCAGGCCGGATGCAAGATGTGTTTTTCTTTTAAACAGCATATTTATTTATTTACTTATTCAGTTATTTTTGCAGGGCACAATGCACACTAATCAACAGATGTACTGTAAGTGAGCCAGGAAGGCCAATTTCCATCTGCTGTTCCCGGCCAGATGTTTTTAAGGCAGCTTGAAAGAAAGAAAACATTAAAAGAAATAAAAAATCTCTAAAGGAGACCTCAATGAAATATCTAATAGTCTAACATGTAATACTTCACAGACACCCGTCGGAGCCCACATCCTCTGCTGTACCTGGACCTTTGAGCATGCAGCGTCGCTGCCCTCCTGTGCATCTGTTACTATTAATAGAAGCGATCCAGAGAGACAGACAGAGCAGCGGAGACGACCACAGGCAGGTTTTTGTCAGTACTTGGTAGGGTGACAGGCATTTCAATCAGGGGCGGGTTTCTTTAATGAGGGCTGGATTCAGCCAAGGGTGGATTATCTAGAAGGAATTAAAAACTGAATCATTCATCCGTCTGGGTTATTTTTCCAGGGAGACAACATTTCATGTTCCAGGTTTTCATCTGAATTTAAATTAATGTAATAAGCAAATTTGCTGCATTGACGTACTGATCGACGGTTAACATAACAAAATTTTTATTTTGTAAAGTCAGGATTAAAAATTGCACTCAAGCTACTCCAAAGCCCTTAATGTTCTTGAAATTCCTTGAATACTTGAATTATATGCAAAAGACAAGAAAAATATTTTATTGTAAAAAAAGAAGCACTTACTCATTGTCTCGGTGTGGGTTTACTTTCTAGTTCTCGTGAGCCTGGGTTAACTTCACTTCCTGACCTGGTGTGTTTTCCCAATATCAATCTGCACCGTCACGCATTCCCGCTAACTCAGTGAGGGCTTAGTTTCGTCTCATTGTTTAAGCGAGGCTCTCTGGTAAACATTTTGAGACCTTTATAAACCCTTTCCGTAAGCCAGCAATGGATTCTGAAATTGCATTAGCAAAACTAAAAAGCCTAATTTCACTGCAGCATGTTGTAAACGTTAAAAATTCCTGACAGTATCGACTGGTCTTTTTATAGTACATCTAATAAAAAATGTTTGGGGGGGGGGTTGAGAAATCAACAGGCTACCCCTTCTCTGTCATACATGTTGGTGAAGTTGTGTTTGTGTCCTGTCCTACGTCTGACTTTGATACTCCCTGTTTTATTGTGGCGTCTAAACCCCCTCTCGTGTCAGGTGCCTTGCCCTTCCTCAGGTGTCTCCTGTCGATTGTCTCCCCTGATTCCTAATTGTCTCCACCTGTTCCCTCACCTCCCTCATGGATACTTATTGTCTGCGTCTCCCTTTGTCCTGTGCCAGTGTGTCTTGTAGTCGTGCATGTCCACACCCGCGTTAGTGTTAGTTTGCGAAAGGATCTTTGTATTTGGTATTATTAGATATAGGAATTATTGTAATAAATCTCTAGCAGTCAAACCTCTCTGCGTCCTTGTCCTCCTCCCCGGCTCCGGCCTCACTGACATTCTCTGTGCATGGGGTATCAATTAATGCCATCACCCCATGTACTGCATTAGCAAATGCATAAAGCACAGTAAACTGGCTTAGTGGACAAAGTCAGGTGTGTGTGTTTTTCTTTGATACTTGTGTGAACCTTAATCGATGAGGCCAGTTAGACCCTTTATTGTTTAAAATCTACATGCTGATTAATGAAATGGTCACATAAGTAACCCTTTAAACTGTCTTCCCCAAACATTATTACCAAACCAAAAGTTAAGTACCCCCTGACCAAAAGTTGGCCCAGAGTAGCTGAACAAACCGTATCATTTTGTGATTCCTGCAGTCGACGTAGACAATGATTTGTATGATATTTAATTGAAAATGACTTCTCAAGTCCAACAACACAAGTGACTTTCTGTTTCTAACAC